CATTTGATAAGGAATATTGCAAGCAACTGCGACCCTTAATGATCTGAGAGATCTTTGCCCCAGTGGTTTGCATTCAATATTTCGCAAGTAATGGCTGGTTCCTCCTCACTCTTCATGGCCAAAGGAAGTTCCTATGTTGGCCGTGATTCGATGCTGTCGAGCAAGGGACAGGATGGCGCCCTCACTCGCTGAACAGTCTATCAGGTTCACTTTCTTAAGACCTGCAGGCACCGACCACACCTTCTTTATGTTGCACGATTCTAGCGTCAAACACTCCACGCCCTTGCCGACACACAGGTCCTCCACGTCCATTCTCTGAAGGGCCAACGACTTGACACTGTTCGGGACGTTCACCTTTTCGATTCCCGAACACTCGCTGTAGGTCAGCTTCAGCAGGCCCTCACGCAGCCCGAGACTTCCCTTCACTCTTCCTCGCTCCAGCGTCAACCACCACAGGTTCTTCGGCCACGAGACTGGAGTGCTGCTGACGAGGCCGCTCACCCTCAAATCGCATAGGGGCTTGCCTTTGTACGCCTTCGAAATCAGCCTCATGGCGGCCACGCTTTCCCCTGGTGAAGCGTCCGGGACACACGCGTCGGGAGACGAGAGTTGCAGCCACAGGCGAGCTGGCTTGGCCGCGCAGAGGAGCATGGATAGCGCCTGGTCGTGCTTCAACTCCCTCCTTCGTACCCACAGATGGCCCGAAGGTGCCGCAGGGACGATGCTCGACCTCATTCCACTCGTTCCAAGCAAAAGGGGTTTTGGAAGCGCGTCTCCAAAGCTGGTGTCCATTGGCATGTTACAGGCCAGGGCCTCCGCTAAGCTCTGGCTGTGGCCGCTCTCCTCGATCAGCGTCAAATAGTAATTGATATCGTAGAAGTGTACGAAGTCTTTGGCCACCGCCGAAATTTCTTGCTCCCGTTTGGGGTCAATTTTTCCTTTATCATTCACATAAAGGAGACTGACCACGAAACTCAGTATAGCCTGTTTGTCGTCCTTGAAACCCTTTAGAAGCTTGGTAATCGTCGCTTTCTTGTCTCCCTTCAGCGCCTCGCATATGTGGTAGGCGACCAGGAAGTTGGCATGCGAGGTGTGAAGGAAATGGAAGCTGATGTACTCTCCCACGCCTGTCATGCGGCTCTCGTCGCACTGCATCAGGCTGGACACAGCCTCTCGCGGTCGAAGCCGCAGTTTAGACGCTTCGCGATACAGCTGTTTCACTTCCGGACTGCATTCTGGCAGGGAGCTCCGGCCTGACCTTGTATGGTCGAAGGCTACGCGAGCCACCAAGCTGAGCCACTTCTGGCCCTCCTTTGGCACCTCCCCGGACAGCACCCGCTTGCCGTTGATGTGACACATTTTCTTCAGGATGAATTCCGTCACCTTAAGGAAGGTCTTGCCCAGCGTCGAGAACTGGGCGCCGCCCTCCTCCGCCCAGAACCAGGTGCACCAGCATAGCAGCTGCGGGATGGCCAGCAGTTCTTTGTGGCTGGACAGCAACTGCAGCATCTCGTCCGGGTCTCCAGCTTTCCCTTGCAATACCAGCAGTTTGTCCACGTAGTTCCTTGCGCTCGCTCTGCTGAAGCCGTGAGCCGTCACCCGCAGCACCTGTCTCTCACAAAGCTTGACGATGGCGGGGACGCAGTGGGGCCGCGTGGTGATCAGGAAGAAGGCCTCCGGACACGCCTTCTGCAGGTTCTGGAAGGCATCCTGGAAAGCCTCCAGCCTCTCGTCGAAAGCGTCGATCATGATCATGACGCTGCTGCCAGCCTGCGTCAGGACCTTCAGGAGACTGCTAGGCCTCCACTTGGCACTGGCTTTAGGAAATATTTCCTTGAGAATGTCGAAAACTTTGAAGGTCCGAGTGGTGACGGCGTTGCAGTCCAAGAAGAGCAGGAACTCGAACGCTGCCAACGAGGACAGCGGGCATGGCGACGTGCTCCACAGGTCGGCCAAGTAGCGCAGGAGGGAGGTCTTGCCCGTCCCCGACTCCCCCTGCACCACCAGGGTCTGCCACGGCCCCCGCGCCCCGACCACGCCGTCACTCTCCACGGGCACCAGTGTCCTGCGGGAGAAGCGCAAAAGCTATTATGACAACGGTCACCCTCAAGAAATCGTCTGAAAGAAGTGTTAGAAATGAAAGAGATATATAGATGTATCTCTATGTATATGCATGTGTATAGAAATGTCATGTGGCTTACCCATCACGGTTGACGGAAAATCTGCTGCTGGTGTAGGTGGTTGTGGCTTTGTGGTGGAAGCTGAAGTTCTTCCCAGCCCACACGAGGGGCATTTGGGTGGTCTTGCCCCCGCTGCGGAAGACCTCCCTCAGTTCCTCTTGCATGGAGACTGCAAAAGGAAAGCAGTTGCGTTCATTTCCTTCACTTATTACTTACTTGCTTTACTCATAACATTTTAGATGCTTAATCGACGTATGAGGCAACTTTATAAGCTACGTATTTCTAGAAATGCTTTAGTTGGCAAATACATAGAAAATGAATGAGTAATATATAAATAACATCCAATCTTACAAGTCAACTGGCTCCACCAACGACTCAGTAGCTGTGGACAAGAGGAAGACACGCACCTCTGACTTCATCTCTGTCGTACGCCCTTTGGAACGGGTTCACGGCCCTCTTATCCTGGAGCTCCTTCTTGAAGCGAGGGACTTCACTCTCCAGGCCGCCCAGCTGCAGGACCTTCGTCACGGCCGCCTCCAAGCGATCCCACGACTCCTTCACGGACGAGTCGCTGCTGCCCTCCTCCGTCCAGTGTCCGTCTTCGTTGCGGAGTTTTCGCAGCTCGGAAATGTTCCCTGGAAAACGAGGACAAGGATTTAATCAGCGGTTCTCCATAACGGATTTAATCAGCGGCGGATTTAATCAACGGTTCTTAATAACAACGGATTTAATCAATAACAACGGATTTAATCAGCGGTTCTTCATAACGGGCGGAAAGAGGTGCCATCATAATACATAAATATTTAGAAAATTCCATCCATCTACGCTTTCACATCCTTCCGCTACCTTGCTTCGCTCTCACACTTACTGCGCACCAGAACACACACTTTCTCACGCATCAGCGAGTGACGTGATGCACAAGGAAAAAAATACAATACTGGTAGCATCCGTGTCCCTTCTGAGAAACACATAGACTCTACTGGACTGAGGAAGGGAAAAGACTATACAAAGAGGAGGTTTCTCTAGGAGTCAAGGTGCACAGTCTCCCTGGGCCGCCAGAACGCACCTTCCAGAAGAGAGAGGGAAGACCACGCTGAGGCATTCTTCCGGAGTCCGCAGCAGTAGCGAAGGAGGAGACAGAGGGCCGAGATGTCCAGCTTTTCCTTCTTGTCTTCCATTATCGCCTTGGCCATCGCGGGATTCTTCTGCAGGATCTCCTTGGCTTTGGCGGACTTCATCAGGACGTCGTAGGGTTTCTTTCCCGGATTCGCCTTAGGGAACCTGCCGAGAGGGAGGGCGTGGCTCGTTAGTTTTGTACTACCATGTGAAAGAGGGATGCATCTATGATGCGTATATGTATGTGTATATGTGCATGTGTGTATATATATATATATATATATATATATATATATATATATATATATATATATATAGCAATATGTATATATATACATATGTGTGTGTGTGTGTGTTGTGCTATATATATATATATATATATATATATATTAGACATTGACAAAGTAATTCTAAAGTTCATCACGACGTCATCTACGAACCTGGCATTGTAAAGCAGAAGCAGAGCGTCCCGGGCTGTGGTCTTGAGTGCCTGGCCGAGGAGGCTCTGCATGGCGGCTCTGCGTTCGCTGCTCGACACCATCGCGAAGGCTTCTGCGAGCGAGGTTTCTGTCGAGTTCCTGTTGCAGTCAACATTGCAATGTAACTAGGATATGATATTCTCACTGAGCATTCTTAACACTTTCGTTTTTAATGTGAAACGATTTCTAATGTAAATCATTAATATCTGTCAAAATATACATTCCATAAAATAAAACAAATGAAATAACTCGAACTGAAAATTATGAACTCAATATATGGCAACATGAACAGCTGAGACAAAACTTTACCTTTTCTTTTTTGTTTCCGTCTTATTCAGGTGAAAAGTTTTCCCTGGATTGCATACACTGCAGCTAAACCCGAAAAGAACTTTGTTTCTGACAATATACGATATAAATATCAGTCGATGCAAATACACCTCTTTGTTGCCGGAGGTACGATAATATATTATACACGAGAAATCTGCCACCTGTATACTTTAAAGTCTATGATATTTAGCACCAATATCAATATCATGTATAGCGCACGAACAATAATAGATACGTAGTGATTGCACTCTGAGTTCATACTGAGAGCTTTATCCGGCGAGAGGAGGTTTTAAGGCGACAGAATAGTCATGTACAATACGTGTTCGCCGCGCGCAAAACGTTGTGTTATTATGACGTAATATTTCTGACAAAACTACAGACATGTTTCGTCCATGCCATATCCCCGTGCACTTGTTGGATGCAGGGAAGTATACATAGATAAATGCATATTTATGATGAAATTACTATTTGGTATTTCGGAATTACAGACTCTGTTTATTTTTCCCTTTGCTATCTCCTTTCTCTATCTCTCTTTCTCTCTCCGACCCCCTCTTCCTCCCTCCCCTCTCCCCTCGTCTGTCTGACTGTCTGTCCGACTCTCACTCGCTCTCTCTCTCATCTTTTGCACTCCTTTGTAAATTTGTCTGCCGTCAACTGGATGTAATAAATTTATCAAATCTCTCACTCTCTACCCCATCTCTCTCTCTATCTCTCCTCTCTCTTTCTATCTCCTTAGTATGGAGTATGGTACATTCTCTGAAAGAAATCTTACTCTTCATTCTACTTCCAAGTCTATGGTACCTAGCACGAGTATGATGTGCAATCAGAACTTCATACTGATAAGCGGACATTTCTGAAGCGACGTCATAATACTCCTTGTAAATTTATTGACAGGTTTTGCTCAGGTTTCTTCCCTGTGTATGTGCAGTTGTTGCTTGCAGCAATACGATTGGTACTCCCGAATATTCTCTCTCTCCGTGCCCCCCCCCCCTATTATTCATTCTCTCTCTCCCTGTTTTCTCTTCTCTCTTCCTTTCTCTCTCTCTTTCTTTCCTTTCCCTCCAACCTTTCTTTTTCTCTCTATTTCATTTATCTCCCTACCTTTCTCTCTTTCTCTACTTTCCTTCCACCATTTCTTTCTCTCTCTCTCACTTTCATTTCCCTCCCTTCCCACCTTTCTCTCTCTCCCATTTCCATTAACCTTTCTTTCTCTTTCATTCCCCACCATTCCCTCCTTTCTCTTTCTCTTTCATTTCCCTCCCTTCCCACCTTTCTCTCTCATTTCCATTAACCTTTCTCTCTTTCTCTTTCATTCCCCTCCATTCCCTCCTTTCTCACTCTTTCATGTCCCTCCCTTCCCACCTTTCTCTCTCTTTCATTTCCCTCCTTCCCTCCTTTCATTTCCTTCCCTTCCCTTCTTTCTCTCTCTTTCATTTCCCGACATTCCTACCTTTCTCTCTCTCTTTCATTACCCTCCCTTCCCACCTTTCTCTCCCTTTTATTTCCCTCCCCTCCTACCTTTCTCTCTCTTCCATTACCCTCCCTTCCCACCTTCTCTCCCTTTCATTTCCTTTACTTCCCATCTTTCTCTTTCTCTTTCATTTCCTTCCCTTCCCACCTTTCTCTCTTGATACCATCACCAGGTTTTCAACGATAAATAGATGAGCAGAATAAGCATGAATATATATATTTTCGATCTGTACCATTTTTTGTGTTGCCATGGTGCTTTTTTTCCACAATAATTTTATTGGCTATGGAGAAAGTTCTTGCCCTTCTTGAACGCACGCAAAACGTTGTGTTACCTATGACGTAATATTTCCAATGAAACCACAGACATTTTGCTCATAACTCAATCATGTGTTCATTTGTTATCTGCAGTAACGTGTACATAGGTAAATGTTTTATTCATGATGAAATTACGATTTGGTATTCACTCTCCCCCTCCTCCCTCTTTCTATCTGTAGAGAGAAAGAGAAAGTAGTATTTATGCTCATTGTTATCATGCATTAGGATCTTTTACCGGTATACAGGTGTGTAGAATGAGCATAAAGTATCTGATTCGATCTGTACATTTTTTGTGTGTGTCCCTATGGTGTTTTATTTTTCTTTCGCCTTTTTTTGTTTGTATTACAGCTGTTATCATCATCATTATCCCTGTCACATTGTCATTAGTAAGTATTTATTGGTTTTCCTCTTGATATCAGCTTATATGCAATATGTCCTTATATGCAATAATATGTTCCTGTTGTTATTATCAATATTACTAATACTAGTAGTAACGTAAGTGGTAGTTGACATTTGCAATATCATAATTGACACTATCACTGTTATGATTGTTATTATTATGATCATTGCTATCATTATCATTATTATTATTATTACAATTATCATTATTATAATTATTAATATTATTATTGTTTTTGAACTGAGTCTGAATTAGTTCTTCAAGTATCATAAGCTTTGATGTTCTATCATTTCATTTAATCAATAATATTTTCTTTTTATCTCTTTTCCATTTGTCATGATCATCAACTTTATAGATACCCTCATTTGCACTACATACCATTTCTACACAAACGAATAAAAGAAGGAATAGCTCACATTCCTATAATACCAAAAGCTGTCACATGATTTTAAAGAGCCCTTCCATTGGGATTTTAGAACAGCAAGAGGAATCAGAAGTCTTTGTTTCTCTACCTTCTTTTCTAGCCTTTTCCTTCTTCTCCATCTCCTCCATGCAAGCAAAGGAAGACCCTGGAAAGGGATGTCCTGAGACATTACCCATTGTGACTTTCTCAGTATTTTCGTTTTTAAAGGTCCTTTTTCTTCTATAACTGTTTCTTTCCCTGTAACTTTTTTTTCTTTCTTTCTTTCCAAATGGTGTTTTCGACAGCTAGAAAAAAAAAATCAGCCACATCAACCTCTGTCATTAGTGGCTTATTCAAAATATACTCCCTTACTCCCTCCTCCCCTCTCCCCTCGTCTGTCTGACTGTCTGTCCGACTCTCACTCGCTCTCTCTCTCTCTCATCTTTTGCACTCCTTTGTAAAATTGTCTGCCGTCACCTGGACATATTAAATTTATCAAATCTCTCCCTCTCTACCCCCATCATCTTTTTATCCCTCTATCTCCCCTCTCTCTTTCTATCTCCTTAGTATGGAGTATGGTATATTCTCTGAAAGAAATCTTACTCTTCATTCTGCTTCCAAGTCTATGGTAATTAGCACGAGTATGATGTGCAATCAAAATTTCATACTGATAAGCATGCAAAACTTGTTACCTATGACGTAATATTTCCAATGAAACCACAGACGCGTTTTGCTCATAACTCAATCATGTGTACATTTATCTGCAGGAACGTGTACATAGGTAAATGTTTTATTCATGATGAGATTACGTGTTGGTATTCACTCTCCCCCCTCCTCCCTCGTTCTATCTGTAGAGAGAAAGAGAAAGTAGTATTTATGCTCATTCTTATCATGCATTAGGATCTTTTACCGGTATACAGGTGTGTAGAATGAGCATAAAGTATCTTATTCAACATGTACATTTTTTTTTTTTTTTTTTTTGCTATGGTTTTATTTTTCTTTCGCCAGTATTTTGTTTGTATTGCAGCTGTTATCATCATCATTATCTTTGCCACATTCTCATTAATAAGTATTTATTGGTTTTCCTCTTGATATCAGCTTATATGCAATATGTTCTTACATGCAATAATATGTTCCTGTTGTTATCAATATTACTAATACTAGTAGTAACATAAGTGGTAGTTGACATTTGCAACATCATAATTGACACTATCACTGTTATGATTGTTATAATTATTATCAATGCTATCATTATCATTATTATTATTACAATTATCATTATTATTATTGTTAATATTATTATTAATACTATTATTATTGTTTTTGAACTGAGTCTGAATTACTGTTCTTCAAGTATCATAAGCTTTGATGTTCTATCATTTCATTTAATCAATAATATTTTCTTTTTATCTCTTTTCCATTTGTCATGATCATTAACTTTAGAGATACCCCCATTTGCACCACATACCATTTCTAGACAAACAATTGAAAAAAAGAAGGGATAGCTCAGATTCCTATAATAGTAAAACCTGTCACCATGATTTTAAAGAGCCCTTCCATTGGGATTTCAGAACAGCAACAGGAATCAGAAGTCTTTGTTTCTCTACCTTCTTTTCTAGCCTTTTCCTTCTTCTCCATCTCTTCCATGCAAGCAAAGGAAGACCCTGGAAAGGGATGTCCTGAGAAACTACCCATTGTGACTTTCTCAGTATTTTCCTCGTCTTTCCCTGTAACTTTTTTCTTTCTTTCTTTTCCAAATGGTATTTTCGACAGCTAGAAAAAAATCAGCCACATCAACCTCTGTCATTAGTGTCTTATTCAAAATATAGCGATATAATGAGGAAGGAAAGGTCATGCAGTACTGATACAATACAGTGGCAAAAAGAGTAAAATTAGTTACTCATCAGGACAAAATATATTAAAGTTAAAGGTTGTAAAGCACTGGTTAGTATGGTAATGAAAAGGGTAAAGAGGGAAGAGCAAACAGAGTACGAAGGAAGTTCGAGACTGACACAAATCCAGCCTTCCATCCTTTCGGAAAAGGAAAGGGGAAGAAAACCCAATGCAAAATTAGTTGAGGCGAGAGCTGAGGTCCAGGGTAGGAGTGATCCCCTACCTTGGGCCTCAGTCTCTTCTTCTAACTGCCCCTAACTCACAACGAGCAAGGGACTGGGGGAGGGGGGTCACACAAAGAATAAAAAATGACTTAGCAAAGCAACTTAAGAAATGACTTCTTTTCTTAGCCTCTTCCATACTTTATTATTTGCCAACCAGTTTTTGACTTTACCTGCATCAAATATAACTATTTAGTGTTTGCTGTTGCAATACATCTTTGATGGGTAAAATATGATACAGTATTTTTCATAGGATGTTTATCACTCCATGTTACATATTCATTACTCAATATATCTTCCAGGCTTCAGGGAAAGTTAATAGATTAAATTTGATTACTGTCTCAATTGTTTCTTCTTTTGATTTGTAGGATATGTTATCTAAAACATGGTATTCAAGTAATGTAAATAAAAAGAAGACAGCTAAATGAAGCTTGGCAAATTATCCACACCACCTTTTATATTCACTCGCAGGACTATTTTAAGAAAGCAATAAGAAAAACTCTTTAGACAAAACTGTGTGATAGCCCTTGTTAATAGGTTCGAAAGGTTTGTCAAACTATCTTTTTTTAAAACATTACTATTCGACTTGTATTACTATGCATAATAACTAGAACTTATAGGTAACTTTCTTCCTCTAACTCTTTGATCAAAGATTAATTTTTATTAAAGCCTTACAAAGAACACTTTCCAATAAAAATACTGAATGAATTAGTTTTCACATTTTTATTGTATACATATTCAAACCAATATATTAGCTGTGTTAATATAATTAAAAAATTATTTTCACATCTCCACTCTCAACACAATATTTGTCAGTCTGGCAGTACAACCTATCTATCTTGTTTTATAGGTATAAAACTGCAATGAAACAAATAAGCACAACCTATATCGTCTGTTTTAAAGCCTTTCCACTCCCCTAAAATTACAAAAACCTGAGTATATGATATGCATATAGATACTAAATACCTACAAATAATTAAGTCATAAAACCGTAAACCAAAGTTTATAAATGAGGCTTTAATTTCACTAGCCCAAATCAAGCCTAATTCATCTTTTAATATCATAGATCATTGCATATAGACATCTTAACATCAAAGTTAATGCAAAGAGTATCACAACTCCATTTAAAGCAACACTAGAGTCCTTTAACATTATGGTAAAATTTAAAAAATACCAGAGGACTAACAAAAATTATTACTTTTGTACATCATAAGGCAAAATGGTCCCTCATTGTTAAACAAATCTTGAGTAAATACAATACAATTTTTAAGGAGTTATCATACATGAACTCTGTCAGCATGGATATATATTTATTTATTTTTTTCTTTCTTTCTTTTTACCCCTATTAAAAGGAGGTCTGTCATGGAATTTTCATGTAAACCATTCTTCACTGTTACAATTTTTTAATATGGTAAACCAACTTTTACACACAACTATAACATTATAAGCATTAATTTATCAAATAACTATTCAAAATACTTATATTTGAAGAACTCAGATTACATAAATCTGCTGTTATATTACAGCTAATAAGGTGCATTTGCTTATCACTGTATTGAAGATTTTTCCTATAGAATAATAGACTAGGCTTCCTATATTTGGTAAAATCCATTAATGCACAAAATACATTCATTGGCTTCTCAAAACCTTTGGCATATTGTAGTATAGAACTTAAAATTCTAAATAAATAAAATATAACAGGAACACATAAAAAGCAGTTTTATGCTGTACATGGTGTACAGCAGTAATGCTGAACATAAAAATAATGATTGTTATGCTCACATCCTGTAAAATATTCAATAACAATATTTACGACAAATGATAAACTAGCCCATTCCTGCACACCTAAAGAAAGTACCATACTAACCTTCCCAATTCACACACAAAACACAGACACACTTGTAAGTATAATACAATTTCATCTTGACAGATACTAAAATAAATCTGAGAACATCTTCATATGAAGGTTTCTTCTCTCCTCTAATGAAATCCAGGTACCCTATAAAGACACTTACCTATACAAAGACACCCCATTTAAAACAACACCCTGGAACCCCCTATACAAACAGATGCAAGACCTCTATGTCTTGAAAAATGCCGTAATTGACCTCTGGCCCTTTGGGATGGGCTTCAGCTTGGCACTCTTCTTGGATGGAGCTTTCTCCTTCTGCGGCTTAGTTGCCTCAGCCTTTGCTTTCTTGGCCTCAGGTTCGGCTGATATGTTTGCTATGTCAGACAGTAAAGATCTCTTGCTACATTTTTTCTTGGTCTTCCCACTGGCCTTTTCACTTGGGTTTGCCTGGTTCTTCTCCTCATTCTTGTTTGTTTCCTCAGTGCTTTCTGGTGGTGCTTCCTCTGTTTCTCCAGCGTCATTAGCATCACCCTAATGCAATATTACAATTTTTTATAAGAAGTTCTGATAGATAGAATACCTAAAATATATTTGCCAATATGTTTATAACTGAAGAAATATGAAAATAAAAATAATAAACAAGGCATAAGCCAAAAAATACAAGAAATTAATTAATCTCATCAAATGCGGTGGCAACCAATATAAAAAACAGATTTCTTTATTAATAAATCAACACAAAATCTGGACAATTTATCCCAAAGCTGAAAGTCTAAAACAGCTGTCAACTTACCTCCCGTTTCGGCAGAGAACTGACAATCTCCCTCCAGTTCTGACTGCTCCTGCTGCCTTTGCCCACAGCCTTCAGTGTCGGACCTACAATTGGGGAGAGGCTGTTGTTGGCACCGTTTGGCCTCACCGGTGACATGTCTTCGGGAGCCCATGCACATGATGACTGGAATCTAGGAAGGATAGATGCAATGAAAAAATAAATAAACAATCAAATACAAGTAGCATGTAAAGTTTTCTCTGAATACAATCAATCATTCCTCCACTTCAGTTCTCAAAAATTATTTTATTCTCCTCTATAACAACTAGTAAATCTCAAAACACTAAGTTGAAATAATTATTAAAACATTTCTTTCAAAATAAACACAAACAGACACTGATGAGACCTGTGCCATACCTCTGGGGCTGAGCTTCTTCCTTGGGGGCCAGTCCTTTCTTCTTCATGATTCGAACAAGGAGGTTCCCTTCACTATCAACTCCATCTCCATTGTTGCTGTCCTTTGCCTCTGCTGGAGACCTGTAGGGATATTCAACAATATGATATTTCTACTTCTTTATTCTATATGTTACTTATGTGTGTTCCTTAACATTATTAATTTAAATCTTAATTAGTTTTTGAGGTCAGGATGGAAGAGTTTCAGGGGTAGATACTTTATTTCAAATGGAACTGTGAGAACTCCATTAATGTAGTAGTAGTTTTTTTTTTTTGTCACAAGATCAAGGGTTAGAGTTGGCGAGTTAAAAAAAGAAAGAGAAAGTGTTGACGATAAAACTTATGTATATTAATATAATTTCAAAATTGTTTCTTTCACCAAAATTTTACTCACTCTTTTTCTTTATTTCATCATTGTGTGTCATGCTACTAAAATTGTGAATGAAAAATAATAACTATACCAAAAGATAATGGATAAATAACTGCTTAATGAAATAGTTCCTTCTTCCTCTCTCTCTCTCTTTTTCCCTCTCCCCCTCCCCTGTCCCTCTCTATAGCATACTGCATAACATAATGTAGCATGCAAGCTCAACACCACGTGAGTGCTCTCTCGTGGGGCGAGCTAACACGTGGTGTGTAATCATGCTTTCGTCCCACGATGAATACTAATACTAGTGATTCTTAAATAAAGTGTGAAACCACATCGGTGTATCACTACTGCCCACCAGTATTCATCATATAGGAGGTTCAGCACCTTTTATACTCTCTGCCTTTCCCCCTCCCCCTGTCCTTCTCTGTCATTCTTTCTTCCCCTGTCACTCTCTGTCTTTCCTCATCCCCCTGCCCCTCTCTGTCTTTCCTACTCCCCCTCTCTGTCAAATTGTAACACTGAAATACCTGAACAATGACAGGACTGAGGGGATTCGAATGGGTGTTGCTGTCTTGCGAGAGCTGCTGCACTGTGTAAGGAAGTGCTCTCCCAGGGCATCCACAATACCCATTGATGATGCATGGCCACTGATCTCATCACATAACTGGAGCAAGACCTGGAAATTTGCAATGAAATTAATTTGGAGATTCTTGAGAGATTTAGTTACTGACATACCAAGAGAATGGATTCTAGCAAATAAACATGTAGCAAATTATGAATGCTTGTGGATCTAAGTTTTCAAATGGTACAAAATAAAATTATGAAAAAAAAAAAGAATAACAATGGCCAGGGTTACTTGTAATAAATTCCAACCCCTTTAGAGAATGAAAGAACTGAACAGAAAAGAAAAGAAAAAGAAAAAGAAAGAAAGAAAGAAAAAAAGCACATGTACAAAGTCATCAATGTAACTACCTATATATAAATCTTAAGAACAGTTTATCATCACTACTGAGCACTGAGTTAACACTGTCTCAACATGATTAACTTTTGCCGAGTTTTCAAAGATGAATGACTACAGAATAATTCTCTTCCTAAATATTGAATTTCCATTTCATACATATCAGCACATTCCCAGTTCTATTCACAGGATCAGTAAGTACCTTGAGACAGGGTCGAAGCCCTTTGGTCTGCTGGACCTTTTGGGTGACCTGGCCATCCCTCGGGTGGTCGTTGAGAAGGCTGTCAAGGGTTGCATTTAGCCTCCCCCACACTTGCTCGATGGTTGCCTTCTTGAGGACGCAGCCCCTCATGCGCACCAGACCACTCTTGATGAGGGAGAGTACCTTTGAGGATGCTTTCCTAGTAAGAAGGAAGAGACTGATCAGGGGGAGAAAAAGCAAAAATATCCGAGAGAAGTTGAATAAGAGGAAAAATGAAAAGTATCAAGTGAAAGAGAATTGGTTGCAACCTGATACTTCTGAATGTACTGGAATGATTCATGAGAGCTTTAACTTTCTACATTACCTTCTAGTGATATCAAGCAGTGTTAGCATCATTAGGACAAATGATGCAAATGAGCTTAGACTTCAACACTGCTCAGTTATTAATTGTTATTTGTATCTCATATTTCAATAATAGGTTAGTGTCCATTTTTTTCTTTTTTTTTTATCTCACTTACAGCAATGGTGGCATTACATTTGTTATTCATTACATTTATTATTTCAGACTGTATTTTTCATGACAAATAGTATCTAGATAAGATTTACATGAAATAATTCCTACATAATGAATACCTTAATGGTTCAGAAGCATATGAAGAATATATATCAGTATGAATATGAATATATGAATCTCATAGCTAGTTTATCATCATCTTGATACAGCATACCAAATAAATATATTTAAACCTTGGTATAGGTAAAAAACAAAAACTCAAAATGATTATGCTACAAAGATAAAAACATTGCAAAGGGAAAAAATGTAAAAAAATTACTTTGACACTGCACAGAAGTGTACATGTGGACTGAGCCTCCACGCCACATATCCAGGAGTCACCACTCCAAGAAGAGGGTGAAGAAATAAATATGAAACAACTAAACAGTAACACAAAAAATCTGAAAATGGGAACAAAGTGAAAGACTCACCTTAGGTCAGGTTCCTCCTCTGCTACGCTCTGAAGCTTCATAATGGAGTCCACAAATTCCCCCAGAGGCTTAGCATGGAGCAGTACTGGGTTTTCCGGGTCTGGCTGGTACCCCTTACCACCAAGACGCAGTCGCATGATGAAGGAGAGTATGGTCTGTGGATTAGCCAGATTACAGACTGAGCATATTTGCAAGTAATGTACTTTAAAATTATGATTGGAAGAATTGATAATCTTTCACTCTGAAAATTAATTACTAAATTAACATTACTCTAATTATCAAAATATGAAGCTAAAATAATAATTTGCATATGATTACACTCCTTCACAATTATTAAGTGTAACATTAACAGCTTTGTACCAGTAACTTCACATGTTAACTTGTAGTATTATCAAATTATCTCATTCAAAAGTACATACACAAATCATAAGGGCCCCAAAACAAATTAAGGTAAGTGACACATTACCTGAAACATGGGCATGTTCTTCTTCTGAGCTTCATCTTTAATGTCTGCAAAGCCTTGCTGTGAGATCTCTCTCCCTGGGATGCTACAACTGGTTGTCAAAGCCAGTTCATCCCTTGTATTTATAAGCAACCGCAGGTGAGAGAGGATTAGCTGCTCAACATAAAGCTCAGATTCTGTGCATGTGTACCCCTCACATGCCTCTTTGGGCTCGCAGCTAAGGTACTCTACTAAGGGACATTCCAGGGAGTCAATCTCCAAGCTGGCAATGCTACTGCCATTATTCCCTTTAATGCCTTGAGAATCCTCCTCTGGCTTGTCTGTATCTTGCTGTAGTTGGTCGGTGTTTCCTTGAGACAATGCTAGGTCATCAACGTCTCCAATGCCTGACATGTTTAAATCATAGGCAGTGCCAGAAGTGTCTGCAGCAAGAGGCAGCCCCACTGTGGCTCTGAAGGCTTTAGCGCTCTGTAGAAGGATCTTCACCAACTCTCTCTCTATGGCTGGCATTTGGCTCACAGCTTCTAGGATGTACACCTGCAGGAATGTAAGTTATGACTGAAACATGTGTACAGAATCAGACTTTGGTTTAAGCTACTACAAGAAAACAAGAAATTAACTAGAATCAATAGGGTATCACAAAGTTAATCAACTGAGTGATCTGAGGCTGGGGTCAAATATATGAGTTCTTTTCATTCTCAGGCTATTCTTTGTCAGAGAAAAAGTCAACAATACTGGTCTGCATCTTCTGCATTCTGTGCTGAACACCATACATTATGCAATATCTTCAATTCTTTATTATTTTTATCCATTTGAAACCCTTATATAGCACCAACTATTTCAATCATTCTGGCACTGAAGTTTTATCAAAGAAAGCAAATATACTTTCATCTTGTCATGCCTATGAATCTCTGCTTCTCTATGCAGTCTAATTGACACAAGAAAAAAGACAGACACACCCACACACAAATTTCTTAATAATAGGGCGGTTAGTATTCATTGCAATCTCCATTTAATGTCATCATGACCTTCATATTACTCTATAATAAAGCTACATACTCATCTAATTTCAAAGGCCATTGATATCCTGCCCTGGGGAATACAGAAGAGCACAGCAAATAAGGCTATATACCTTTGATGCAATATCTTTCAGCACTTCATGCTTCCCTGCCATATGCTTTTTCAAGATCTTGTAAAGAGTAAAGTGATCAAGGCATCCGGAGTTACGAAGGAAGTCATTGTATGCCTCGATGATCTCCATCATTTCTCTCATGCACGGATCCACACTGAAGAGTAAAAGTGTTACTGATGAATAAATAAACAGATAACGGTCTAGGTTTGAGTCCTCTACTCTAATGAACCCTTTTTAAATTCTATATACAAAGAAATAAGATTAAATAATAATATAATTATGTATTGATGTTAATATAATATTGATAATCATACAAAACATATGAGGAGGCATCTCTAAAACTAAAAAAAAAGTTTATCAATCCCTTCTGAAGCTTTAAACCTACTGAGGAAAGACTTGCATCCCAATAATTTTTACCACAAACTTCCTATCTGCTCACTCTATCTTCCTTTGAAAGACAATCCACTAACAGTAACTCTAAACTAATATTCATTAGAATAAGCTAGATTAAATAATTTTCAAGAAAAGAGAACAGGAAACATGATTTCAACCCTAATATCAACACCCAAGAACACACCTTTGGGAAATGTTAGGGAGATCCAATTCTTCACAGCTTTCTTCTGTATCCGCCTGTGATGCCACAGTGTCCTGGTACATCTGGTTCCATACATCTAGAACATCACTAGCAGCTGCCATGAACTCACCATGTTTCTGAAAGTCACAAGGCATTATTCATTCTACTCTTCAAATCCTTAATATCTTTTGCACTTTTGTCCTGAGTTCCCGATGTTTTCGGAAGGCAAAGAACATCTGAACAAGATTTTCCATACCCAGTAGAGAAAACCAAAAGTAGGAATCAGGAATCTATCAAGGAATATATCATGAATACTGATTCTTTTAAAGAGCTGAACAATCTGTTGTACATATTAGCAATGTCTTTATAAATGGTGAAACGATCCTTAATTTGCTTTTAACCTTAGTCAGTGAGATATATCATATCATAATCATTTCTGATCAGTGTTCAGTGCTATAGTAGCTCTACTGTACTTCCAGCGCTAGGTCAAGGTTAGAGTGTAAGAGCAATTAAAATGCTGTTGGAGTCAAGATCTGAAAAATAGTTTTCAGATCTGCTTCTCTATCTATATATAAAAAGAATGCACATAAAATGAATAAAATTGCTCAAACTTTTCTAATGCTAGTTTAAAGAAAATAATTGTCAAAACTTCATGCATCTCTGCTGTCCAACATATAATACCACAAATCAGCCCTTACTTTTTTATTGATGCGGGCTAAACACAGCTGAATAACTTGATACTGGTCCCGCACAGAGAGCAGCACAGAGCGCTCTGTGGGCAACAGGCCATATTTGCGACACAGGGTTATCACATAATATGTTGGACTTGCGACTAGACCAACAGACTCCCAACCAGTCTGGCCAAGGTGGATAATATCACATTCTTGCTCTGAAGATTTGAAAAAACAGAATTACATGAGTTTATATATATATAACTCTCTA